AGAGCGTTCAGTCAGGGTAAAGACTTGTTCACTTGGTCCCTTATACAGAACGTGTTTTGGGCAGTTGAACGTGTTCAAGTTCAGGTAACTTATGAGGAATAAGCAAAACCATACAATATTTTAAGTGTAAACTTTACCTAATCTCTGTTTTAGGGTCGTAGATGTGTTTTGAAAGACTGCTGCAAAATCTTAGACAACACAGTGCTGCCGCCTGAAACAGTGGTCCCCCCGTTCACAGTCTTCTCGGGCTGCCCAGGTACGCTCCCGCTGCTTGCACGGCCGTGTGGCTAACGTGGAGGTTTGGGTTTTAAAATGAGGTTGCTATGACAGAGTTGCTTGTTAGCATTTAGTGCCTACAAATAAAGGCATAGGGCACCGGGTGAATGGAAGAGCAACAGTTTTGACTTGCGAAACTCGCAGCTTTAGTGTGTGTTCGGTAGGTGGTGCTCGGCCGCTCAGAACAGAGTCACTGGGTGCCAGCTGTGGCCGTGCTGTGCAGTCAGCAGCCCAGCTCTCCAGGCGCTGGAACCCGGCAGGCATAGGCGCTGGCAGAGGGAGCGCTGCTCCTTCTGGGGCTCCTGCTTCTGTGGGTATCTCAGTGGTTCGAGCTGTCCGCTTGCTCAGTATTCGTGTGTTCGGTGGGGTGGAGGCACATTAAACTGAGGTGAGTGAACGTTTAGTTCCTGCCCGTGGGCCTGGCTGTGCCGCAGATCTCGCTGTACAGGTTGCACGCGCCATCGTTTACCTCCTGATAGCATTTACGGGGAACAGCGGAAGCCGTTGCGGGACCCGGCTGCAGTCTGTCTGTCTGTCTGTCTGACATCCGCGCGGGGTTACAGTGGGAGCAATCCTACGGCATTGCTCGGCGTGAGAGAGGAGCCCTTTGCTGCTCTGTTTGTGTTTACTCACGATTCAATCGAAGTCACGGCTTTGAATGTTGAATGTAAGCTTGCTTCTGCTTTCTCCTGCCGGAGCGCTGATGGTCATGTTCTTGTTCTTCTTCCAGGACTCTTCTCTGGGGAACTCCCGGAATGTACCCAGGAGCTGATGATTGATGTTACGAAGAGCTATTACCAGAAGTTCTTGCCGCTCACTCAGGTCTAGTAGCCTGTTTACCGTGTTTCAGAGCAGTGAGGGCACGCAGGAGTGTTCTGGGGGAAGGAGAGGGATATTGTTCTGTGAGACCAGGGCACGGCCTCTGCTGTTCCGGAGCACTTCTGTGAGCGTTCCTCAACACCAGTGGTGGGGCCAAGCCATCCTCGTGAAAGCTGCTGTCTCCTGTTGTTTCAACTTTGTATGCTCATTTGAATGTAATTCATTCCACGTTGTCTGAATTGTGCCATTAAATGTCCTGGACCTAGGAGAGCTGAAACCCAGAGCAAGCAGGTTTACGTTTGCTAGCAGCGGTCTCCATCCTAGAACAGAAGTGTGGTGGGGCTGGTGTGCGTGTGGTGGGCTCTTACTTACCAGGGTTCATCAGGCCCCGTGCTTTGCTTTGGAGAAACATTCGCCGCTCTGTAGGCCTGCGTGTTGAGGTGGATGGCCTCCTGCTCTTCTCCCCGTGGACCGGGATTCTCTCCTGCAGGTACAGGACATTGTGCATCGTCCTGGGACTGGCTTTAGGGCTTCTGGCTGACGTTGAACCCTGTCTTTCTATACCTTGCCTGACAGGACGCTCCTTAGCTTTTAGCTGTTGAAGCAGACGTCAGTCCCGTGCTCTCACCCATCGCGCAGGGGTAGGATTCTCATGGCCTAAGCGTGTTCTACTTCCTGAACATTGCAGGCCTGAAAGAGCCGCACGGCTTTGGAAAGAGGATTGCCGTGCCACTCGCAGAACTCAGTGCAGCAGAAAGCAGGGAATTAAAAGCAGAAAGTGGAGGAGGTGGATGAGAGAACGCTGCAGTTGTCCCCACTTATTACCCACTACGTGTATTTGCAGAAAGCTCTTTGGCCCTTTTTTGCATTAGAAAACTGAAGGAGATTCAGACTTCTTGGAAAGAGT